TTTTTGTTTTTCTTTAAAATTTTAGAAATGAAATTTCTTCTTACCATGTCTACACAGGTGACCCCTACAAAAAGAAAAGAAAAGTAAAAACTGTCCACACACCCGACGTGTTAGCTTTGTTCTCATTTTAAATTCTGAAGTAGTATTTCAGCATCCCCTCTTGACTATCAAAATTCTTCCCTATAATTTTTCTACTTAATAAAACCCTTCTACTCCATTCCACTACTCCAGTTACAATTTTCACACCAGTCATTATGAAGCTGTAAACCTTTTTAAATTCACGTTCTGCTATCAGATATCAAGATGATAACTGCTAAACAAAGAGAACTCAGTTTCCTTTATTTTCTGCCCCAGGTCCAGGTCTCCATGAAATTTAACGGACAGTCCTCAGTGGAGGTTCATCCTCACAGCAATTTGGAAGAACTGAAGACAATGACATCCATCAGTTTATTCATGAGGGTGGACCCTGACAAGGATCCCATAGAGGACCGAATCATCCTATACTTGGGAGACAGAAATGTGAGGAATCCAGGCAGAATAAATTTTGTTCCTTTCTCTTTCTGGGTCATCAGTTGTGATAAAATAAATGCCAACTTTCAAAGATGAAAAGGAGCTTGTGTGCATGAATAGCATGTTGTGATCATGAGAACAGAAATGACTTTGAATGGCTTTGAAAGCACCCATTTGCCCCCTTCAAAAGATGTCCAAGAGACGCCTGAGACAATGGTGCATCTGTGTGCCTTCAAAGTTCATTTACATAAATACTGTTTTCCCCTGCCTGCCAGGGTATAGAAACAGTACAGCATACCCAATGTGGGGCCTCTTTGTTCTCTTTAACAGCGCCTCACCTTGGTGATTTTACCATCACTGTAATCTATGCAGTGATGTTTTTCACTGTGGAATAATAGGCCCAGCAGTAGTTGGTCACAAATGATGCATAGTTAAGCTTTTGAAACCACTCTACACTGAAATAAAGTAACACCACACAGTTGGAAACTCGTACCACCATTATAACATGTTGAAGTGTTTTAAAATGACACAGTGAAAGCCTTGGTAGTAAAATGAACACTGTTTTCTGCTGCTCCTGCTTTCAGGGTGTAAAAGACTACATGGGCTTGGCCACCAAGAATGACATCCTGGTGTTTGTCTATAAACTTGGAGGTGAAGACATTGAGATCCCATTGAGTTCAAAGCCTGTCAGCCAATGGCCGGCAGTCTTCAACTACGTCAAAATAGAGAGGTAAATGAGCTTTAACCTCTTAACATCCACATGATCAGTGGCAGCATATCTATAGTTAAGGTTGGGGTAGGCTGGGTTTTGGGTTATCATTTGCCCCCCTTTTTTTTTTTAGAATTTTTATGTCTTTGAAACACTCAAATTTATGTGGCTAAAAGAAAAAAGCAACCCTAATCTTTAACCAAAAGTGATTGCCATTTTAATTGTGCTAGGCATTATTTGAAAATCATACATACAGATTTGTTGTAACACACAAAAGTGACTGAAAACTCTAAAGCCTAAATCGTCATCAGAGGTGACCCTAACCCCAGTACTAGCCCTGATTATAATCCTAGGCAACTGAAGTATGTAATAAAATATAGGGTTAGGATCCAGTTTGGGCTAGATTCAACACCTGAAAGGCCTAACTAAAATTTATATACATATATCACATGACGTTTCTGAACAGTAGCAGCACTATGGGGCCATTTATATCCAAATATTTAAAGTCCAGGAAAAATGTCCCATATGCTAGAGCACCTTCTGGCTTCACACTCACTCAAGAAGGTGAGCGTGATAGAGTCATAGAATGATACATATTGTTGGGCTATATTTAAAATCGTTGCTATATAAGTTACTAATACGCTGATCTTGACAAGGAACTGAAAATTTGTTCTTGGTCCCAGTGGTTTCCTTTCTCCTCAAAACACAAGGGAAATCCTGCTAACACACATCACAGTTAGTGTGGTTAACTTTTGTTGTGCATTAGCAAATTTTGAGAAAGCTAAGCAGATAGCATTCATGAAGTTCAAGCTAGGAGGAGGTCACAGTGGTAACTTGCAGATCTTTGCTTGCAGACTGGGCAGGCATGGAAAAGTCTTCCTAACAGTCCCAAGTCAGAGCTCCACTGATGAACAGAAGTTTATCCAGAAAGGTGAAGCTCCAGGCACTGAATCCCTGTTTGACATTGACCCCCAAGATCTAGTGTTTTTTGTTGGGGGTGTCCCTCCAGATGTCAAGGTAATGTAAATTACAACATTTCTTCAATATAAAGAAATCTTTCTTTCTTTTAGAAATCTGACATGTGACTGTTTCTTTGTTACAAACCAGCTTCCACCTCCTTTGATCCTTGCACCTTTCGTGGGATGTATTGAATTGTCATCGATGAACAACGATGTCATCAGTCTTTACAATTTCAAACAGACTCACAAAATAAATGTAACCACATCTCCACCGTGTCCCAGGTAAACTTTTGCATGGCTAAATGTATGTGTCAAAGGGTCTCAATGGCAAAAATATACAAATTCAACAAGCATTGACCACCCACTGTATAATTTAAACACAACTTACCTGAACATTGCTACAGAAATCTGACATTTTTTTTTGACATCTCAAACATTAAGTTCATATTTAGCCTGTCTGATTTTCAAGGGATGTATCTTAACTTAATTTGTCACATAGATGGTTTGAAATTGTCAAAGGTACCAAATCATGTTTCCAACTCTGCTCTCAGGTACAAGTTGGCATTTTCACAGAGTCGCATTGCAAGCTACCTATTTGATGGAAAAGGCTACGCACTCATCAGTAATATTGAGAGGAGGGGGACGTTTAATGCTGTCACAAGATTTGATATTTCAGTACGAACTATCGCAAGTGATGGTGTACTTTTCGTCATGGTCAATGAGGTAAGTCATCTGGAAAACTTACAAGAGTCTCACATCTCGAAAGCTTTTAGTTTTTCTTACCCATGTGCTACCAGTCTGTAAAGCAGGTCAACTGCCAGCATTTCTATTCTCATAAAAAAACCCTGTAATAATGATCATCAGTAACTGGTTTATGACAATTGTATAAGGCCTGTATAAATATGTTTCATTTCTGTTTTTTCAGGATAAATTCTTTCTTTTGGAATTAAAGAATGGCATCCTGCGTCTAATGTATGACTTTGGCTTCAGCAATGGGCCAAAGCTTTTAGAGAACAACTTAGCAAAGCTGCAAATAAATGATGCAAAATACCACGAGGTAGCTTTTTGTGTCTTTATTAAAACTCTTAAATAATCCCAAGTTAAAAATGCGAATGTCTTACAATAACTGTCTGTGGTGGGACATTTCCTCAGGTGTCAGTGATCTACCATCAGTCAAAAAAGGTTATACTGTTGGTGGATAAGAGTCATGTTAAGTCCATGGAGAACCCAAAAACCACCCTGCCCTTCGCAGATATTTACATAGGTGGAGCTCCCTCCAGCATCCTGAAATCCAGGTGAGCTAAACATACATGCAAACAAACAATAATAGTATTTATCATTTAAGTCCCAAGATATAGCCATCCAGCTAACTATAAATTACTCCAAATGGAAATAGCTCTATTCTTTATAATCTATATTCTTATTGTTAACAACTTTTTGTAGAATATGTAAAGTTAATACATCATTTAAAATTTGAGTTATTTCATCACATGGCCAGAAAGTTGCTTTCCTTCTCCAACAATAACTGCATAATGTGTCATTTTAAATAAGTGGTTAGTTTTTCTCAGTTGCTTCTGGAGACTGCACCTTCCTCTCTAACAGCAGAGCTTTTGGAGTAGATAGTTTTCTTTTTTAACTTCCTGACTTTGTTTCTTGCAGCTTTAAATTTGAAATATGTGTGTTCCCACAGGCCAGAGCTGTCCTCTGTGGTTGGCCTGAAGGGCTGTGTGAAAGGATTCCAGTTCCAGAGAAAAGACTTCAACCTGCTGGAAGAACCTGGCACCATTGGTATTAGCAGCGGCTGCCCAGAGGAGTCCTTTGTAAGTTGTGCATCTACCACGTCACATCTTAAGTGATAATGCAATGTGTCCCTCTGAAACCAATACCAAATATAGTAAACATCTGCACAGACAAGATACAGTGTAGTCAAGCAGCTTTATCCCATATTGCCACTGCTAGGTCACTGAAATGTGTTTTCGTCTTGACAGATGTCGCGCAAAGCTTATTTCTCTGGAAAGAGTTACCTCGGTTCCACAGCAAAGATTTCACCGTTTGACAACTTTGAGGGTGGACTCAACTTCAGAACACTGCAGCCCAGCGGACTCTTGTTCTACCACAATGAAGGGGTAAACACACCTACATGTACATACATGTTTACTGCGTGTTAGGACATGCATTTTCAAATGCAAAACGAATGCTTTTGCAATGTTAAAGCAACGTTGTCTTGCTTAAAAAATGTTTATTTTGCTTCAGTCTGACGAGTTCAGTATCTCCCTGGAGAATGGCGCAGTGGTCCTAAACAACAGAGGCGTAAAGGTCAAATCACACAAGAAACAATACAATGATGGAAGGTCGCACTTCTTACTGGCTTCAGTGAACAATCAGAAGTAAGTATTTAACTTCACTGTTGGCAGCTGCTTCTGGTGCACATCTGTGTTAGTCTTTGAGGCTCCACATCCTGTTTCCTCTCGATTATATACATTTAAATAAAGTCTCAAAAGAAGAATGAATGCACTGGTTGAACCTTCATATAGGAACTTAACCACGTTAATGGTGGGTTTTGTTTGTTTGTTTTTCTACTCAGTAATATTACACAATTACATTTAGATCATAGTTTTTGTCATACAAAAATTATTTTTATCTCAATATTTTAAATTGCTAGGTTCTGAAAGACGTCAGAATGCTTTGGTATCAGATCCATTATGTATGCTTTACAGCATCACTGAGAAATATCTTAGTCACAGCTTGTTGCAGTTTAATCCAAACCACATTTTTTTCCAAACAAATAGCAAATGTGAATGCAAAAACACAACTAACCAGTAAAAGAATGACACCACAGCCACTACATCCACCAGCTAATATGTGCTTTACAATAAGTATTCTAAACATGATCAATGGACATCATCTGGATTACTGTAAAGTTGCAAATGCATTTGTCATTTAGTAAACATTATTAATTATCACATTATATCAATTTACTTGTTTATTGATAGTAGTTAGTCAAAAATGTTAAATATGAGGATATTAGAGCTAAAAAGACCGAAAGCACACATATGTAACATTTAAGCAGACATTATATATCTTCAACAATTACAGCATGTGGTACACTGCATGTGGCATAGACAATATCTTGCAGGAAAATAACAACTTTGGGCAATGCAACAACAAATAAGAACAGCAGCACGAGAATAAGACAACACGTTAGTGCAGTGCATGATGCCTGCATCTCTGATAAGATCTGGTGATCCTTTTATAAACATGGGTCACATACGCCCCTGCACCCAAAGGGGCGCATCAACAACTAAAGAAAATCTTCTGAGGGGCTTCAACTCCTTACTTCAGGTACTCATTGCTGGTGGATGACGAAGACAAGCAGTTCAAGAAGCGGCCGACATCAGCCGCGGGATCGTCATACGATTCTGAGGAGAAGACTTTCTACTATGGAGGATCTCCAAGCAGCACTTCCAAGAATTTCACGGGCTGCATCAGCTATGCCTACATCAACAGGTAAGTCACCCCCTCTCTCCAGTAAAAGAGGGGGTATTATGTTATTTCAAGTTAAACTGTGAGGAGATGGAGATTGCTGCTAAAAAGATGAAAAATTTAGCAAATATAAAAATGCCAAGAAAAATGCATGTTACAATATTTAGCAGCATTAAAAAACATGTTTACAGTTTGGTTAAACCGTATAGCGGGCCCTGTAGGTAATTCTACCATCTATGGTGAAAGCAGTAGTGTTGCAGAGTGTTCATTTAGCTCACTCGGTTGAGTAAGTGACAAATATATTGTGAGGTTAATGCAGACACCTGGTTTGAATCTGCCCTGAGACCAGTCATTGTGTGTCTTCCACTGTCCTGGTGAAGTAAATGTTAAAAAGCCATTTCATAGCTAGATAGATAAATCAGTGTTTCCCAACCTTTTGGAGCCACAACACGTATTTCACATTAGAAAAATCACACGACACACCACCAAACAAAAATGTCACAAAAAGCATAATGATAGTTTTTCCCCACGCACCAGGCATAGCAGAATCGGCTCAGTTTGTCAGCAGTATACCTTTTTTTGATTTTCGAACGCTGTGTACCACATAAAATCGTTTCGAGGTCAGTAAACACAACCAGAATTCATACAAAAGGCACACGGGATTATAAAGGGCACTGTCGATTTTCAGAAAACTCAAAGGATTGATTTTAAGTGCACTGTATTTTCCAAAAACACACGGTAATGACAACGGCCTGCTAGCATGCTCTACCAAAAATAGTGCTTTGTTGTGGATCTGACGAACGAAAGCTAAACCAGTTCCACACCACTGAAGTTGCAGCATTTTTACAAACCACTTCTGGTTCATCCGTTTCATCCAATGATCTGCTTTCGCCCTTCTCATTCTCCGTCGCCGCCGCCATTCTTTTTCCGCCATGTGCGTATGAAAACAAAGGCACTGCGCATGCGCGTTTTACCCAAATGCTATCGCAATATTTCACTTTCTTATCGTTGCCCAATATTATACCGGTATAACCGTGAACGGTATGATATGGCCCAGCAAAACATCAATCATATGACCCCATATGTGCAAGCACTTTAGCGACAGTGGGAAGGAAAAAATCTCTTTTAACAGGGAGAAACCTCCAACAGAAACAGGCTCAGGGAGGGGCGGCCATCTGCCGCAGCCAGTTGAGGTGAGAGAAGGAAGACAGGATAAAGACATGAGTGAAAACTGATGTTTCATTTGTTACGTGGCACTAATTGGAAGGTATGTGTATTGGAGAATTGATAGCATTAGCTGGCAACTTAGTAATTCCTCCTGTCATCCATATAAATTATATTCACTTCTGGCTATTCCAAATAATAACAAAAAACCCAAAAACAACTCACAATATTTTGGGAGCCAAAACACTTGCTGAAACCAAAGGTGACATTATGGTTAGTGCTTTCATCTTTTATATACAGTCTATTCAATGAATAATGTGTTGAGAGTGTTTGACACTTCTGCCGTGTCACTGTAGACTAGACCGGGACATTGAGCCTGAAGACTTTAAGAAATACCCAGAGAAGGTCCAGATTTCCCTGGAGGACTGTCCTGTACAGCGACCCCCGGCTGCACTGCTGTTAAGGCACAGGGCTAACACTTCTGGAACCAAACAGTCACAAAAGGTGAAGTGAAAATAGCACATACAGCAGACCTTAGTTAAATATGAATGTGTTCTACAAACATTTTTGGGCTGACTGATAACCTGATATTTAATAAATGTTCTCATAGGTCACCAGAGATAAATCTAGCCTCCCCCCAGTGCTGACTGAGCTAGGAAGTGATGACCAGGAATCAGCAGAGCCAAACATCAAGTCCTGCTTTCTTTCCTCAAGTCCCAAATCGATTCACCACGCCTTCCGGTTCAGCAGCATTGCCAACAGCAGGCAGCACTACACAGACTTCCCAGACTCCCTTTCTCAGAGGTAGATCAAGACAAGAACTTTAACCTCAGTGTCATGTCTGCTTAAAGCTGCACATATTCTTGTGTCTCCATGTGTGATTAAATTCATCTTTGTTCTTCCAGGTCCCACTTCTCCTTGTCAATGAAGACCCACTCATCTTTTGGCCTCATCTTTTATGTATCTGATGCCCAAGAGGACAATTTCATGGCACTCTTTCTGGCCCATGGGAAACTTGTGTACACTTTTAGTGTAGGAGACCAAAAAGTTAAAATCAAAAGTGAAGACAAATACAATGATGGTGCCTGGCACAGTGTAAGTTCATGAATTTGTTCCATAACTGAATTTTATATTTATGCCAGCATGAGTGTTTGTTTATGTAAGAGACAACCTTTTCTCATCCCAAAGGTTATTTTTATCCGTGATGGGAATGTGGGGCGGTTAATAGTTGATGGGCTCACAATGCTGGAAGACAGCGTTCAGGGAAACAACGTCTCCTGGCACATCAGCAGCCCCCTCTATGTCGGAGGAGTTCCTGCAGGGAGAGCCCAGAAGAATATTCAGGTACAAGTCAAAATCGGCCATGTGAAAAACATTAAACAGCAGAAAAAAATGGGACAACTGGAATCTTATAGAGGACTTTATTTATAGCCCTATGTTTGTCCGGAAAATGTGTGGACATCCAGCCCTGTCTGTTCCCACAGACAAGAGGAAACCACTATTGTGACCCTAAGAAAGAAGGTTTCCTCTCAGTTTTGAGTATTGGAGCTGATATAGCGGAGCCCTTCTCCTTCCTATTAATCCCACTGTTCAAAGATTGGCTGCTTTTCAGATGTGGGCGGAGCACAAGGCACTCAGAGATCGCTCCTGATGAATACGAATGACTTTAGCTAACAGTTTAAAATAATAATTGCTGCATTCTTCTGATGTACTAGCTCCATTTCACTGTAAGCTGATAAAATGTAAAAGTGTGAGATGATAATTCTCTGTGGGGTGTGACCCTAAAAGCAATGTCTTGTACATTACATGCACTGGGGGCCGGGATAGCTCGGTAGGTAGAGTGGTGGCCCCATGATCAGAAGGTTGGGGGTTTGATTGAATGCTGAAATTACATAAGATAAGCTTATAAGGGAAGAGTCATAAAGTTATCAAACAGACCACTAAGATTTCACAGCTACATTCACTTAAACTTTGCTTAGCATTAGCCGTCATTAGCCATACAGAGCCACTAGTCATACCAGACCAAATAGGGCTATAGCTGCAGGGTCCTCAAATATACTGTAGTGATCAGGAGTTTGTTGTGTTGCTTGTAAGTAGAGCTCTACTCTACCATTATAGGTTGTCTACTGAAAGGTCAGTGGCTCGGTCCCCAGCTCCTCCACCCTACATGTTGAAGTATTCCTGAGCAAGACAGAAGAAACTGAACCCAATGCATTCATTGGGGTGTGAAAGTGTGCATGAATGTTAGACAGAGCACTTAGAGAGTAAAAGTACTGTGTTGATGTGTATGTGACTGAGGCTTGTAGTAGAAAGCACTTTCAGTACTTAGTACATTAGAGTAAAAATCAGTATATGAGAACTACTGTGGATAAGTGAATGTGTTATTTAGTAGTTCTTTAAAATATTCTGTGATGCCTTTTTAGGTTTGTTTCTGTGTGGATTATCGTAATTAATCATTCTTTTTGTTATCTTTCATCTTCAGAGAAACTCTGCATACAGCTTTACTGGCTGTATAAAGAACCTTCAGCTTGATAGAAAGCAGCTCTCCTCTGTGGCAGACACATTTGGGGTCACTCCATGCTTTGATGGAGTCTCTGAGGGAGGAACATACTTCTCAGAAGAAGGAGGATACATTGTCCTGGGTGCGTTTCTAGCAATTTAATGTCTGTGTTATTTTTCTGTAACCTAGAAATATGTTGTATGCAGAGTTTTGTGCAATCTTTCTCACAGTGAGTAACACCACATCTATTTTTCCACTATCTGCAACTGTTTGCAAACTGAGCATCTGTTAACTTACACAGTTCATTAGCCTCACAAGGCCCACAGTCTCTTTCGTGTTCATGAGGAGAGTGTGGCTGGCTGAGGGAACTCGATAGCCTAAGTGCAGCTGTGGTAAAAATGTGTGAGTGTTAAAGAAGCACGAAAGAGGAAAAGGCAAAGCTGAAAGCCCTAAGAAACTCAGGACTCAAATGATTTCACACTCGCACCCACCTCAGAATAACTGATGGTTATGGGGCCATAATAAATAAGAATAACTCAGACCTCACGTCATCTTCCTCCTAATTCAGACGATTCTTTCAACCTGGGACCGAGGTTTGAGCTGGTGATGGAGGTGCGCCCTCGTGTGGCATCAGGGGTGCTACTACATGTGCACTCAGCAGATGACTATTTCACTGTGTACATTCATCAAGGAGCGGTACGTTTTTACACAAAATACACACATTCGTGTTGGTTCAAATGAAGTTTTTTCATTCAAAAGAACTGCCGTCTTCTAGACAGATTATAGCATTAGTGTTTTTGCAGGTGGTGGTTCTTGTAAATGATGGGACTCGTGAGTTCTTCACAAAGGTGTCACCAAAACAGGGAGTGTGTTCGGGGAGTTGGCACAAAATTACCGGTAAGAATTCCTTTGTGATCACACTGTAGGTTTATTATTCAGAATTGATGTGTTCTGTGGCAGCACTGTTAATGTCACACTAACATCACTCTCTGAAAAATAATCTGACATTGTATATTGTATGTGCAATGTTACGTCTTCCACGTCTGAAAAAGGAATAAACACACAAATGCCTTAATCCAGCATTCTATTTAAAGACCACCAGGGGGCGAGGCCTGTGGTTTCAAAAAGACTGACTGAAAATAGCTTTCTGTGTCAAGGAATGAATTAATGGGCTCAGTCACTCTTTTTGTGTCCATCCATCCATTCGCTTCCGCTTATCCTTTTCAGGGTTGTGGGGGGTGAGAGGCAAAACCGCCTTTTTGTGTCATAATGAAAAAAAAATGTTTTTTTTATTTTTTTATTTTTTTACAGTGGCTAGTAAAGTTTAATGTTTAATGAAAGCGTTCTGTAATGTTTGGTTTCAGTGATACGGGATGCCAACGTTGTCCAGCTGGATGTGGATTCTGAGATCAACCATGTGGTGGGACCTCTGAGCCCCAGCTCCACAGATAGCAGAAAGCCTGTATTTATTGGTGGCACTCCAGGTGAGCTGGTGACAATTGCTCCTCCTGATTTTGTCCTGTCGGTATAAAGCTGTTAATAATGCCTTCTACCTCCTCTCAGATGGTTTCCTTCCAGAAAGTGCTGCTACCAGGAAGGCCTTTGTGGGCTGCATGAGAAACCTGACAATCAACAACAGCCAAGTAAACTTCAGCAAAGCGGTCCTGGTCAGTGGAGCTGTCAGTGTTGGAACCTGTCCAGCAACATAAGATTTCTATGATCTCTAGCTCAGCAAAGCAATGACCAAATGCATGGTAGAAACCCCATATCATCAGTCTTTTTCCTTTCTGACACGTTTGTGTGCTTTTTGTGTAGAAGTTGTCGGTTTTTGTTTTTCACTCCCACCAAGAGTATGACCAAAACGTCCATTCAATCAAAGCAAACACCCGTTATAAATAAACAAATCAGATTGATTCCTCCAGTCCACAGTGTGAAGCACACAGGCACACTAACATTACTGTGTTACTGTATGTTCCTTTACTCCACTTCATAATCTTGATGGCACATGTTTTTTGTATAAGTTCATTTTCAAAGCTTTCCTTTTGTACTGTTTTATTTCTGATAATAAATAACATTTTACCTCCACTGAAACTTTTTTACATGTGTGTTCTCCTATAGTGCACTTGTTCATTTCACCAAAATCAGCTGAGACTGACTTAACAACCTGGTATATGCATGCAATATTGCACAGATATACTCAGTAAATTAAAAATGGTCAGAACACAGGAGTGTTTTCTTTTGGTTTTTCCCACAATCCAGTGACATGTACATCCAAAGTGTCCACCCAATGACTCAGATGAAAATTAAACAACTGTCACAATCTTGTTAAAGGTAGTTAACTTGTTTGCAGTCAGTTTAATCAGCCACTAGATGGCGACACACACACATACACAACAATCCAAGCGGATCAGCAGTCTAATGGCTGTTTAGTTAGCAGTTGGATGGTGTACCTATCAAAGCGGCCAATAAGTATATGTCCTATGTGGGCGTGGAAATTAGAGCATGCTCGTGATGTAAGATGAAAAGTCATAATAAGTGTTCAGTAACTGTTTTTTGTTTGTTTTTTTCTTTAAAAATGTTTTTATTATGTTTTTACTCAGAAGCACACCATTTTCAGGGGGTAAAATATTTCACGACAGTTAAGACAGAAGGTGAAATAACTGGGAAGCCTAATCACAGACAAGCAATAAATACCAAGGCAAAACACTGGAAAACTGGTTGAAAACTCTTCGTTTTCTAATTGTTTTAATTTTGGAAAAACATCCTACCTACCTTAATTTGGCACCCACGCTGAGACACAAAATTCAACCATAATGTAACATCACTGACAAAATATAGTTTACAGTCTTAAATGCTTTTATTCTGCTTTTAAAAACCAGTATCTCATACCATCCTTTATTTTAACTTTATTAATGGGAGTTAAACTACAGAAGAGATTTTAATCATTTAATGTGTGGTCTCTACAAAACTGCTATATTATATTACTACAAACCTCCTGTTTTTTCTTTTTAAAAATGTCTTTATTGCTTGTTTTTGTTCGTCACACACACTTTTTTTGGGGGGGGGGGGGTCAGTGGCTGAAACGTACGTTCCGTTTCCATGGAAATGACGTCATCAATGCTCGACCAAACATAGCTAAGGCGCGAGGAAGAAGAGGTGTTCAAAAGTCTTGTGAAGATCTTATTGATGGATAACATAAACGGAACAGTCATTATGGATTAGCTTCGCACTTTTACAACGTGTATGGGGTGTTGTTGACATGACACAGTCCGTTGTGGTCCAAGGTGAGTGAAACTCAGCGCGGTAAATGACAGGTAGGAGGCTAGCTTAGCCCCCAGGTCGGTGTTTATGTCAAGTAGTTCCGTTTTATGTGACGTAGCTACATACCTTTAACAAATGAAATCTGTATTACTACTAATTGTGTTTTTTAAGTTAAACTGAAATTCCGTTCTGCAGTTGGACAGTGCGGCAACCAGGTTGGCTGCAGGTTTTGGGATCTTGCTTTGCGAGAGCATGCCCATGTCAATAAAGTAAGTGCAATTACACACACAGCACAGCACAGCACAACGAAGGTATCCGACGAATAATAATGAAGTCTGACTTGTTACGACAGGAAAAGCACATGTTTGTCTTTCTAATGTTCTGGTGACCCAGACTATACAACCAAAAATCCGTAGACACAGCATCTCTGGGTGAAACACAGCCGCTTTTAACGTTTTTATAATTACACCTGTGCTTTTGAGCTGGATAAGACAATACGTTACAGAGCTCAGATCATCTCAAGCTGGTTTCTTGAACACGAAAGGGGGTTACTGTACTCAAATGGCTACCAGAGCCACCATCCCTCAATCCAGTAGAGCACCTTTGGGATCATGTCAAGGCATTGTAGTAAAAGTACAAAATAGCAAAATGTAATTCAAGTACAAGTAACTTTAGTTAGTGTAGGAAAACCTTTAAAGTTGAGCATATTTAATCAACTCAGAGGAGAAACTCATTCAAAAAGCTGGGAGCAACAAACACCTTCAACTGTTAGCATTTCTTAGACTACAGCAAAAGTGTCATTAACCTCTGGCACATGCACCTCCAACAACCAAGGCAGGAAAACTGTCTGCTTTCCTCAGTCTGTGATGTTTGTCCATGTGTTAAGGGGGGGGGGGGCTTGGAGGCTTTGCTTAATTTAATAAGGATTTGAGAGGTTGAAAAGGGCGAAATTGTGATGGGTAGACAACTGGTTGAGGTGTGGGTGCATGTGCATCACCTAGTGGGGGAACACATAACACCAGGATGCACTATGAGAAGGTGAGCTGGTGGAGGCGGTGGGATGCTTTGTGCAATCTTCTGCTTGGGAACCTTGAGTCCTGCCATACATATGGATGTTACTTTAACATGTAGCACCTACCCAAGCATTGTTGCAGACCATGTACACCCTTTCATGGAAACAGTACTCCATGATGGTTGTGGCCTCTGTCAGCAGGATAATGCACCCTGTCACAAAGCAAAACTTCAAGAATGGTTTGAGGAGCACAACAATGACTTTGAGGCATTTTTTTACCCCTCCAAATTCTCCAGATATCAATATAGTCGATCATCTGTGGGATGTGCTGGACAAATAAGTCCAATCCACTGGAGGCCCCACCTCTTACAGGACTTAAAGGATCTGTTGCTAACATCTTGGTGCCGATACCACAGCAAACCTTCAGGGGTCTAGTGGAGTCAATGCCTCGATGGGTAAGGTTTGTTTTGGAAGCAAAAATGGGACTGAGACAATATTAGGCAGGTGGTCATAATGTTATGTCTGACTATTATCAGCAAATGTACATTTCTATTAGCATTATTCTAATTATTTTACACTGTATAAATTGGGACTCACCAGCTGTTAGTAGTGAACAGACCCAAACCAACTGTCTCCTCCCTGTCTCGCCAGCATTTTCTGTTATACTTGTCATTGCAGAGTGAAAGATTTTGTGTTTGCTTATCTTTAGTTGGTAACTTAGTCCACAGTAAGTGTTGATTATGTGCTTGAATGTATCTATGTTGAGGAATTATAATGTATAGTGGGGTATTTTGCTTTAATAATCAGTGTGGGTGTTATTTGTTTCTCATCTTGGTGTAAATTTATAATTACCAGACTTTCCAGCCACATTGTCATGTCATTTTTAAATTGCATTCCAAACTGACTGTGACAGAAAAACAGCAGATAAGTGTCAAACACTCTTGTATAATACACATTGTAATTTTCTTCTCTGACTTGTGTGGTTGCGTTAAATCAATTCTAGCTCTGTTTGTCTGCTTTGTGCAGTCTGTTTGAGATGATGTGAGAGCTGTCAGTTGACGCCTCAGCAGACACGCCCTAAGTGATTCAGAGAATGCTTCTCTTTTTTTTTAATGATTAGAAAACCTCATTTTTCAGCGCTGTATTTCAGCTGGGTAGTTAATAACTCATTTCTTTAGTGTGACAGAGAGATATTTACCTCGGCTTTATCCAAGTTGTAATCATTTTGGTTTCCAGTTTAAACGTTAGCTGCCTTCTGTAGTTCATAAGCTTTAGGGATGTTGGTCTTAAGCACTAGAAACAATTTAATTTAATTTCCAAAAATGAAATCCTGATTTCACATGAATTTTATCATGGTAAAACTGAAAGTGTTCCAGTGCAGTAATTCTTAGGGTTTAGGTAAAATGCATCAACTATGTAGAAACTACTGATTCACCAGATACCCAGGCCTAGTCTACTATAATCTTATGTTTAAGTGAATGAAAAATGTAGATGCAGCTGGTATAAACAAAAACAAAGCAAAATCAGGAAGAGTTCAAATACTTGTTCACAGCACTGTAGATTTAAGTGACCAAGAAAAACTTTCAGTACATTTTTTAACATCTTATCTATGATAATCAGGGAAGTCATTATGTTTTCTCACTAAACCTTTGTTCTAAGGGATGTCTGTTTTCTGTGTGCCCTGTTTTGTCCTGTAAGAAACAGACATGACTCTCACAGCTCCTAAATCTTTTTTTTTCCTTCATCCTCAGAGGGGATTGTACGATGAAGCCCTCAATAGCTTTTTCCGAAATGTGGATTCCAGGTATGTTAAACCTGCTTTCCTCCAGTAGTTCATTGACATATAAGTGTTCCAAATGTATTGCCTTTTTTTTTTTTTTTTAAATCACTGACTGTCCTTTTCCAGGAAAAGTGACGGGGCTGAATTTGCTGTTGGTGGGAGAATCCAACACCTGAAGGCCAGGGTAAGTTCTAGAAGGACTCTCGAGTCCCTAATTTTTAGTTATTGTGTCAAAACTGGATAAAAATTAAGCAAATAAGAAGTTAGAACTTCAGAAATTTCAGAGTTGGTACTAATAAAAATAGATGTTAGCCTATGCGTGCAAACATTTTAACCTATGAAACATTCACAATAGCAGTGCAGGCATAGTCAAGTGTCTTTTACATGCAAAGCATAAGGCTTTGAATGTTGCTAGTATGGACTGATACTGAAGGTGAATTCTTTGTGAACATCTCTTGGTCAACTGTATCAAATGCAAATTAATTCCATATCTGATTCTCTCAGTCATTGAGTTTGGCTGTAGCTTTTGCTGTGCCAGAGGTGCCACGTCTTTCTGTTTCCATTAAATAAGCCTTCTACTAGAAATGAGCAAAGGGCTGCCACATCTCAAATTTCACCCTTTGGGGTTAACTTTGGCCCAAAGGAAAATGATAAATGGCTTTAACATGGATAATAATAAGCTTAAGACTGATTGATGATGCGTATTCTTTTCACATTTTATTTTGGAGTCGAGCTTTCTGAAAGGTTCAGCATTCATTGGGTGAATTATGAAATGACTGGGGTAAAAGGAATGTGCTCAGTATATGATAGCATTGAAATGTATGAGCGGGCCTCATTTTCACATATTTGAATCCACAGGCGGTCCTGGTGGACATGGAAGAGGGTGTGGTCAACCAGATCCTGCAGGGCCCGTTAAGAGAAGTGTTTGATAGCACGCAACTACTCACAGACGTGTCAGGTTCAGGCAACAACTGGTAAGAGACAGACAAGCCCCAGGATGCCACCGAGCTCACGTGGACTTTACCAACTGTTGCACACCATAATTTAAATCCTGCTGGAGTTGTGTTACAGCTCACGTGCTGTTACACTATATGCAGTTCTAGTGGTATTCAGGGAATAGTCTTTGAAGAGATTGCAAAGAAAGTATTTTTTGGTAATTGTCTGAAAGAATTAAACATGTTTTCTTAATAATCCACTATATGTTGAATTTTGTATAATCTGAAAGAGGAACACGGGTGGCTTAACTGTTGTTTTTTCAGTTTTCACATTCTCAATTG